TAAAAATCTAAATATCGTAAAAAATATAGTTGCGGGTGATAGCTAGTCAAATGAGGTAAGGCAAATGTTATAAGAATGAGAAATCAATAGGACGCATTTTGGTTAAGAGTTCTCTCATCTTCCGGTGGACGATGGTCAATATCCACTTTTGGAAATTTTGCGAAACAGTGTTGCTCATTTTGGGATTCTCATCGGTTATCATAAACCTTTCAATGCAGTTATGACCAAAATTCCTTGATTGGTACGTTTGGGAGGTTATCTTCTCTCGACACATAATTACCGTTATTCTGTACCAACTATTCCCGAGCGTTTCTGGCATAATGACACGACGCAAGGTCAGACAAAGATATTATATACCACTTCCTTAGTGAAGCTGAGCAGTTTTGGTAAGCATCTTTAAGTCTAAAGCTCGGCAGTCCACAGCTTCTCCTAAAACTCGACTAATGTAGTATACTGAAGCACCAGCCTCAAAGCACCAGACCACAAGACGGTTTCCCAAAATGCCCTCACTTGCCCCCTTGTTTTTAGAAACACAAGAGGTTTTGCAGTTTTCGGCAAATTAATACACCGTTACACCGTCTTCACAGTATCTTATTGCCTTATAAATGGTCGGCTGGCTAACATTTTGGTCTCTGAATTTCAGTTTGATAACCGCCAAACTAAGGTGTGGATAGTCTGACGAGTTTAAAGTGTCACCCACACTTTGAACCTTATGATTGAGACATATGATTGATGACAATGACCCACGATTCGTTAACCTACTTCTTCACGGTACCTGAATCAGACATCAAAGTCGGGTTGAAATTTCACGCCAAACTTTTTCTCAAAACTTTTGTCTCATACTTTTGCTTTTTTCTTGGAGATCTAATTCAATAAAACTGCGATAAATCTAATCAATCTAACGGAGCATTAAACGGTGCTAAAAGCTCACTAAACACTAATTAGGAGACCGAAACCGACACTCAGAATGAAATGCTCCGGCCGGGCGGCTGTCTATGTTGACAGGTGATCCGTTAAGCAGGCGCTAATTCCGACGTGAGGTTACGCAACACGTCTACCAATATTACGCAACCATTAGATGTAATGTGTACGGACAAACAGACACCAACTGTTGATTACGGTAGGCATACAGTCAATTAAAACAAGCTCAACCATGCACATCCAAGGCTAGTTAATATTCCGACGATGGGTTGCGATCAGGTGTTATAGGGGTACTGGATGATTGAGATTCATCGAGTATTGCTTCTCCATTCGTGGAGGATGTTCAGAAAATTTACCTTTTCTGATATTTCTGGGCCTAGCCCGAGTAAGTTTGATCTCTGACTTTACGGTAAGCTATCGGATACTTATCACACCAAGAAGCATACTGAAACACTGGCGACAAATACCCAAATACACTTCAACAGGTTTGATACGCAAGTTTTCAAAATGAGCTTCGATTCACTTGGACTTTTGGTAGTTCTATTCTATTCGTCATTGTCCGTCAGAGCGGTCCGTAGGACCTTCGCTCTTTGTTAAAGTATCGTAGGTCAGTAGGACTGTCAGGTCTGGTTGCCCAGATACCAGACAAAGTCAGGGAGAAAGCAAGAAGAAAGAAAGGAAGGAAGGGGGAAGAGCAAAGAAGGTGAAGTGCGCCGGTTAAAGGGATGCCTTGCTATTTTTAACTGGTATTCGGTTATTTTAAATTAATTCAAAAATTAATTTAGGAATTTGTGTGTGGCAAAAATCGTAATTCTAGTTGGACCTAGATTTGGACGATTTTATTTTGATCACAGGGCGAGCCGCGGTCTTGTGCGCTTGCGAACTTGCTCGACTCTGTAATCTACTGACTCAAAGGTTGCTGTGGGATTCCGCTTGACTATAACGTAACTGCGACTGATATCTGATGTAGTCCCTTAGGTAAGGGATGTTGAGGTCTCTGTGAAGGGTCTCGTTGTAGGCATACCTTGGTGCGTTAGTGATGGTTCGCAAGGTTCTGTTCTGCAAAACCTGCAGATTACGCAAATGCGTTTTGGCAAGAAAACACTATGCTGCACATACGTAAGTGATTGCTGGTCTGATAACCATCTTCTATAACCGAACTCTGCTGACCAAACTTAAATTTGAGGTTCTACATAGCAAAGAAATGTGTACTACACAAGCTCCGCCCAATGCAATGCTACTCCGGTTATTTTTGGGTACCTCGTCATATATCCTTAAGAGGAACATTTATTCTGATAAATACTATTCTAACGACCTCAAACACGATGATTCATCCTCGGAGTTTTGAAAATTTGTAATTTTGGTTACATATCATGAGAGACACGTCATACATACATTTTACTAATCTCTGTGCTTTGCTGACCAACAAAACCACATTTTTGTATGGACAGAATCTTTACCGTAAACATTTCAGTAACAAGGGTGATATTCATCTCCACCATACCATGTATTTTACTCTGTCCACATGTATTCACATAAACTTTTTTGTCAATGAAACGTTTACAGTATAGAAGATTCTGTCAATACCTGTGGCTTCATTGATCGGACAATCAAACATTATGGACATGAGGCCACATGATAAGTTTTAGATGTTCCATGAATTTTACTGTTTCAAAAGAATCTTAAGTTCAAAATCTGTAAAACAAATACAACCCTCGGCCTCTTTTCGACATTGTTTGTGTCGAAAAGTTCCATCAGAACTATCCTATGTCCAACCTTTTCCGATGTTGTAACGCAGAAGGGCATATCTATTGAGAAGGTTCATCAGTAAATACAAATGTAAAAATGCTATAAAAATCATGAAATATACAAAACTGGATTTGGATTAATTCTGAGTAAAAGTGACGTAAAATTTTGTATCGCCTTTATCCAAAACACAATAATGGAGTGTAACCTGAATATCGACAGCTTTTTCAGCCACTGTTTTTCAGAGGGTCACAAAACGCTTTCTGAAAGATTCAACATGCTGATTTCGTCCATGAACAGCTGTTTCGTGCTTTTTGGCAGTTCATCAGCCAGGTGTGAGATTTATCCCCGGGACAATGAACGAAAACATAGCAATTATCCTCACTTCGGGCATGTGATCTACCAAAATAAGACAATGCAAAGCTCCATCTATTACCAGAATCTACCATTGCGAGAGTGTGTTCCTAAAAAATGCTTACGCAAAATACTATTAAGCATTATGAAATGTCTGGTGGAATTCAACACATGACATACTTCGAAGCTGGTGAGCTTATCTCAAATCTAATGAACAGCTAACGTATTGATACAACTTCCTCGTGTTTACAATTTGTTACCTTCGGTGCCTGGAGCTTGAAGTGAAGCATATGTTTAAATAATTTTATTGTTATGAATGTTGAATACGTGCTGATATTTCCGGTACCACATAAAATAGAAAACCATTCAATGGTGATGAATTATGTACACATTTATTGATGTTGAAATAGTTTCTACGAGTTTGTCTTATTTAAGAAGAAGATCCATTTTTACGAGGATGTCTGTACTGGCGCTCGAAGGCCTAAGCTGGGCTGACAAACATAGAAGCCTTTGGCTATTGAAAAAGGTTAGACAATCTCCTTTTATTAAGGCTTATGACTCTTGCCGGACAACCACAGATTGGGCAGACACATCATGCCTCGTGTTACGGTGAGCATGTACTCTATCACATTCAAGTGCATTGCACTCTCTAGACCAGGGTTTCCCAATATTTTTTCTGTTGAGGCTCCCCGGACTATAAATTATATTTTCATGCCCCTCTTTACTTTTTCAATAAATACAAAAAAAAACGCACACACTTTTATTTTAATTCTAATAAAGACATTTTAAAAGTTTATACAAACTAATAAATTTTTTTTATCGAAAAACTTGAATAAAATAAGAGTAGATACTAATGAGACACTTGAGATTGCATGCTCTGTACCAGTTGGTTGATTCTAGGTTCTATTTTTGGCAGAGCTATCATCAGGTGGCTATCGACATCAAGACGATTTCGCTGTTAAGTTTTGATTAAAGGTAGAGTAGAAAAGCCTGTCTCACATAAGTAACTTGAAAAAGGAACTAGTATTCGTAAAGCAAGAGACGCAAGTGTCGAATTAACAGGCAATCTTTTAATTCAAAATTTCTACAATTTTAAAAGATCGAAGTCATCATTCATCGACGAATCAGCCGTCATTTCTAGAACTTCTCCTGGTAATTGTGACACATCGACAACAAGTGGATTTCCTGTCATTTGCCATATTGGTGACTCTGAATTGATGTCTCGATAGTATCGGCAAAATTCGTCTTCCAGGGCTTGCAAATGAGTTTTTATGTCAGCTTTTAAATTTACGCCAAGCATGTTATTTCTCATTGCATCGAACAGCCGAGAAGAAGATATAACATTTTCAGAAGAGACTTTCTGTCCTGAAGTTTCAATTTTAGCTCATTGAAGGACTCAGATATGTCAGTGAGATAAGCCAACCTCCATTAAAATGTAGCAACTTTGAACATTGTCAACAAATCGTGTTTTTATTTTAACTCAAGAAAAAGAATTATCTCATCTTTCAATTCATAAAGGCGAGCCAACATGTTGCCTTTGGACAGCCAGCGTACTCCTGTAAGGAACAGAAGAACTTTGTGATCAGAATCGAGATCCTCGCAAAGTAAAGTAAATAACTGACTGTTCAAAGCGCTGCTCTTGATGTAGTTTACAATCCTTATAGCCGAGTCCAAAGTCTGGCGTAGTGACAATGTTTTGGAAGCCAAAGCTTGCCGATGAATAACACAATGTGTACTAACCATTGCGGGATTTTTTCCTTGAGCGTTTTAGCTAAGCTCGATCGTACACCTATCGTTGCAGGTGCGCCATCTGTGCAAAGTCCAATGAGTTTCTTCCCCTTCAAATCGTTTTTTTTCAACAAAATTTGATATTGAATTAAATATATCTTCAGAGGTAGTACCTGCTGTCAAAGATTGGGAGCACAAAATCTCTTCTTGTATGATATCTTCGCCGATGTAACGAACATAAACTATTAACTGTGCACAATTAACGATATCGGTGGATTCATCGCAACTAATGACAAAAAGTGGCGATCATTTTACTTTGTTAATTATTTGTGACTTTATGTCTGCTGCAATTTCATCGATTCTACGCTTGACTGTATTATTCGAAAAAGAAATAGACTTAATTTTTTGCTCTGCATCTTCTCCTAGAATTATCTGCGTGCGTGGCTTTTGGGACACATGGTTTTACTGATTCTTCACCGACAGTATGAGGTTTCTTTTGCTTTGCTATCATAAAAGCTATTCCAAATGAAGCTTTGAGATGCTGCGATACACCTGTGTGATAACTTCCCGCTTGAGTGATTCTGCTTTAGAAGAAAACAACTCTTTCGTCTTTAAAACCAGAGTAGGATGCTGCTGCTTCAAATGCCTTTGGCGATTGGGCCTCATGCTATCATTACTTAAAACTTTCATACATATCCCACACTGAGGTCATTGTAACTCGTCTTTTTCTATGAAGGTAAATCCAGGCTTAACGAACAAATTAATGAAACAATAAAACCTCCAATTAAAGAAATAACAATAAAAATATAATTAATCTTAACGTAATCTTCGGAAAACTTTCTTTTTTTTGTTGGTATTTTGCACCTGTAACAATAAAACAAATAAGTAATAAATAAGCAAAATACCTACATGTAATTACTAATTATATGCCCATTATTTTATATTAATAACGTAATGTATTCAACAGTATATTGGCCACCGGGAGATTTATATTTTTGTAGGAAGGTTGACGTAATTTTAAATACATTAGGAATCAATATTGGTACTCAAAGTTCGTCGTTTCAAAATTATTTCGCCACGTTGGTTTGATTGTGATGTGGTAAAAAAGTTCCAATGGCCGATCTATGAACGCGTCTCCACTCAATCAAAAATTTAGTAAATTGAATAAAACTGAAGTTTGTGAATACAGAACTTACCTTTTAACAGTGAGACACAATAATTTGACACGCTCAAACAGATTTCTCAACAAAACATGTACAACGAAACGTCAAATTGTTTGCAAGTTTGTGAGAATGAATGTCACAGATACTCATCCGCGTCTGGTAGGTACACAATTGTTTTCTAAGTGATGAACGTTAAGCGGAGCGCGGCGGGGGGGCGCGCGGATTCCATGTTGTGACTTGACGAAACTTGTATAAACTGCGATTGACGACGCCGGGTTTTGAAACAGCGGTTGACAGAATAAGTGAATATGATATTTAATTTCTAATTTTATGCCTGTAAATTAAACATTACATTGTACTCGTAATGTTATTTGTTGATATTGTTTGTTCATTTTTTTTGTTTTTTCTTTATAAAATGCAAACGCTTTCTGCCCCCCTTGACATCTCTCGATGCCCCCCTTGGGAGGGGCGCCTCCCTGGTTGGGAACCCATGCTCTAGACGAATGTGAATACTCCGCACAATGGAGTCTGATAGCAGAGCTATACATTTAGTGACATGCTCAGACGTCTTGACTTTTACCAGGATGTTGGGCCAAGTTTACCAGAATAGTCAGTCTCTTACTCACACTTACTCTCATTATTGACGGCTCAAGGATCATGTACGTCGTTTTGTCAGCTATACGTACAAAGGCAGTACATAAACCACAGAGCTTCACCACAAAAACAAAAAAGTCTTGCAGCACTAAATAGTTATCGGCTGTCTGTGTTAGCATAACAATGGCTCATCATAACAAGACTGACGGCCGACGTTGCCATAAATCAAATAAGATGGTTCCAAATGGACAACCGCGACTTCCCACTGTTAGGGTGGCAGTAAAAGTCAACGTCGCATCGTCCTCTTCAGAGAGGCATGTCCTTTTTTTAAGTGGTGTCCCTATACAGGATGAAACAGTACTTTAATTTTACTTTTAGTGTCTAATCGTATTAGCAAATTTCCCCGAAATAATAGTAATTGTAAAGTCCGGTTTTATTGGTGCAAGTTGTTCAAGGGCATATTTAAAACATGGGCGTATAAAATGGGTACACCAATTTATGTGGGAAAACTTGTTATTTGACAGCAAAGAATGAGAAAACGTATTTTTTGGATTCAGTCGAAGGTGTCGACAAAAACGAAAAAACCTCATTCAAGATTTTTAGGTATTTATGAGACCTAGACAATGAGAGTACACGTAAAAAGATCCAACTAATAGCAAAAATGTTATGGCCGAAAGACGAGGCAAAATGCAGGTTCTGGCACATGGTAATGCGACGATAATTTCCGTAGGATTCATACTTCGAGTATATTGGTCAAGTAGTTTTTTGAGAATTTCTAATTGTTATCACAAAACACCTGTTTTCTGGCCATCACTATTACTTTATTAAGCAATATACAGGGTTCATCCATTGGGCATTTAATATCATTCCGAAAGATAAATGTTATTTTTATGCGTAAAACAAAGGTTACGTTTTCTTTCTTCTAAACAAATTCAAACATTTCGTATTTTTGTGTAACCGAACAAATGCGCTACGATATTCAAAACACTTACGTTACTATACATTTTAAAAGAAAGCGGATGTGATTATCGTCTTTTGTTGCGAATTACTCACAAATACGAAATTTGTTTAGAAGAAAAAACGCAACCCACCCTTTTTGTATAAAAATAACATCTATCTTCCGGAATAGTTTGCGACTCATATCGGCAAGGTAAACTAGCGTATTTTGCTATAAAATGCTCTTTGAACGAGCCCTGTATATTGCTCAATAAACTAGTTTTGATGGCCGGAAAACAGGTGTTTTGGGATAAACAATTATAAATTCTCAAAAACTACTTGAAAATTTACTCCAATTTTTTTTGTGGTTAGAAGTACGAATTCTTCAATTTTGGAGAATTTCAAATATCTGCGACAAACCATCGTCGAATTACCAAGTGCCAAAACCTGCAGTGTGACTTTTTACTGGTTAGAACTTCTTACGTGTGGTCTCATTTTGTAGGTCTCATAAATACCTCAAAATCCTATATGAAGACTTTTTTCGTTCCTGCCAATACTTTCGATTGAATCAGAATAAATGCGTTTTCTCATTCTTTGTTGTCGAATAAAAAGTTTTCCCACATAAATGGGTGTACCCGTTTTATGCGTCCGTGTTTTGAATACCCCCTTGAGCAACTTGCAGCAATAAAACCAGACTTTATAATAATTTCGCAAACCAGGGGTATTTCTGTCTATTATGACTAGACTAATTCAAGGGATGTTGATGCATGTCAACTGAGTCATTCTTCGCCCTTTGGCTGACTCTGTTAAAATTGACACTAAGCCCTATGAGTTTGTTTTGGGCCTTCTGGTATTTTGTTAACACAGGGCTTAAATGGCCGTAGTGAAATGGTAGGTAGTATGGTCCGACGTCGTTCCAAACCTGAAAAAAAAGTTCCAAGTTCAATTTTTTACGGATATATATATATATATATATATATATATATATATATATATATATATCTAAAAACGCCTTTAACATCACATATCTCTGTTCAATATTTCACAAAATATAGCTTAGGACTCATCTAGATATGTTTTGAAAATTCAAAATTCCAGCTCCGGAATCAGTTTTTCGTCATTCCTTTGTATTTTACCCAGTGCAACTCTCTCGAGCTTACACTGAATTTATTATAATTCCGGACAAAGAAGGATAATTAATGATATAAATAAAAGGCAATTACATTATTTCGGAAACTTTTTCAATGATTTCATTCTACCTACTGATGTAAAACAGCATGCATCCTACGTTAAAGGTAAACGATACTTACTATACAAGTGCACTGAGTTTGGCCTTCCAGATAAGCTTGAAATTGAGTCAAAAATCTAAAAAATTCGTGTTAAGAGGATCCACATTCCATTTGTAGGTGTACATTATATAGCTTAATTAGAAGTTCTGAGTTTTGTATGACATAATCTGATAGAAATAAGATATATTTGTATATGAGTAAATATTTTTTTCTTTTGAAAAACCAAAAAGGGCGCAGTGAACGCATTTTGCTAATTGATAAGCACCGTTCATGGAATTTTTGATGCATTGACAAATACTTCTATATTCAGCTTAAAATGTGGGGACTTTGAGAAAATACAAAGAATTAAAAATGTAGAGTCTGGCCCTGGATTGTTTAACGATCCGACTAGATTTACGCTATGCCTAGGTAACTTTGTTACTGTGCTCATCAAGATCTGGTCAATAGTGTGATATTAAAGACTTAGTATGTTTAGATGAATAACACCAAGAATATCCGTGAAGAATAAGTTTAGAACTTTTTCATTGCCAGATATAAGAAGACCTCAGTCCATTCTACCCACAATTTCAATATGTCCGTTTAAGCTTAGAGCATTCTGAGTTCTTCGCTATCAAGTCCATTATGACGAATATCTTACAACTTGAAAATCATCTTCTTCCAAGAGGGATATGTAGACACATTAATGATAATCGAGCGATATTCTAAGTTTGCTAGTAACTAAGTATTATTAACGTCCGTCTTCTGGCCTCAACCAAGCTTGGGGATAATACAGTACTGTAAGTCACTTTTTTGAGACAAGCTCATTTCCAAAGAGAGCTTAGTACTGAATTTGTTATCACATCAGTTTGGAATATACCTACCTGGAGAGCATACCTCGACTTCCAGGTATATTCCCTTCCCACTGTCTCCTTAGTAAAATTCATTTGGTGCATCCGTCACAAAAGTGATTCTCAAGCATAAAGCTTGCTGCATCATCCTGTAAGCGCCAGGATTCTTCGAAGAGCACCTGCTGCGTTGGAGCTATGGATCTCTTGGTTGACTTTTAACCGCCGCCCTCCACCGCCATGCATTTGTTTCTTCGATCTTGGTTGTGTTATTAATGGGCTTGTTGGATATTATGGTAAGTAATTTCCGCAAGAGACGTCTTTGGAGACGGAAATGCGTCACAACTGCGGTTTATGGTTATCTTTATAAGGGTTTGGCAACAGCGCTTGTGAAGTAAAGATTCCTCGTATTACATACAGGGTGACTTTGAAGTTGAGTCATTAATTTTCAGATAATGATTGTAGAAGGAAGATAAACCAAAATATGTGTGTAAAAATTAAAAAAAATTAAAAAAAAATGTTACCTTGTTTTATAAAGTATCCTCCCGACAAGTATTTCAGTGCGGACCTGTATTTGATCGTGCGGTCTTGGAGAACCGGCAGGTCTTAAGTCACCTGATTCACGAGCCCTTTGTACTACATTAACAAAGGCACGAGGGGTTGGTTGCACTCGATTGGGGAACCGATTCGCACAAATCCGTGATCCCGCGGCAGCATTTTGTAAAGACTCCCCCCCCGTAAATAAGAATCACGTCCACAAGTTCAGCATTTTCTTAAATATGTGCCATTTTTTATTTCGTTTGAGCCACGCAACAAACACCACTACGCGT